TAAACAACGTACATGTGTGATGTATTTACTCTAGTTGTAAACAACGTACATATGTGATGTATTTACTCTAGTTGTAAACAACGTACATATGTGATGTATTTACTCTAGTTGTAAACAACGACACGTGTGACGTATTTACTCTAGTTGTAAACAACGATCACGTGTGACGTATTTACTCTAGTTGTAAACAACGATCACGTGTGACGTATTTACTCTAGTTGTAAACAACGTACACGTGTGACGTATTTACCCTAGTTGTAAACAACGACCACAATATGATGTTTGTCAGCTCAAAGTGAAAGGCTACAGGATGGACTATTTTCACTGTGCTCACCGCGGATAACGAACCCAGATATTTCGCATTATAAACCCTAACACTTATCATTGAGCCACAGAAGGGCCCGATGAGAGGAAGGGGTGAAAATGTGGAAGAAAAACTCATGAAGTGTTTAAAGTTGGGTTGTCAAGAAACGGCGGAAATCAGAGAAACATCATAGAGTGAAACATTTAACTATCAGTTTACACACACACCTGTTCACAACTGGGATTTATCGTCTGTTTAATCACAAAGCTATTTAAGATGAATAGAGAAATATAGGGACAATTGCCTCCTTTCATTTACTGAAGCCTGTGACTATTTTTATCCTACAAATTCGTCAGGCGCCGCCTACTTGTTAAAGTATTCGAAATGGATTCAGGGTTCGTAGTCCGTTCACAAACATATGCGTACCGCACCTTAGGACATTGTTCACACCATAAGAATTAAGATCAGATCATTGGCCACACAAGAGTTTCTCGAGGTCTGGCAGTGGGTGCTGTCCTATTATCTATTAGTTAGGGCCGTCTATGCTCAAATAGCCCTTAAGTAGCTCTACGCAAACACACTGAAGTAACCAAGGTTACACTAGGTTTTGGTCTTTTCCTGCCAGCTTGATATGTAAACATGACTACCCCTACTCACACATGACTTGTAAACATGGTTGGTTGGTTGGTGTTTTATGACGCAAAGCAAAACGCCAAACAACCGGTAAAAACAGTGAATTGTAGTAAAATGCAAAAATAAATCGAGTTAAAACCACAATATGTCAAAATAACAGATAAAAGAATTAAATAGAATAAAAAAACCAACTGTTCTTGAAAAATTTAAGATACAATCAAGTTGGACAATGTCAACATTACCAATGACACTGTTCAACGTCAGGGGTTAACCCTTACAAAACACGTGTCTAAAATGGTGCCGGCATTCACGGTCGTAACGATGGCACGACAGTAAAATGTGGGCTATGGTGACTTGAGTGACACAAATGCTACACATTGGTGGGTCAAGAGCAACAGAAGGTTTGTTCTGAAAAAGCTGTAGACGTTACTCAAACCAAGTCGACTGCCAACTGGCACGAAGCCGCGCCTTGAAGACAGGACC